TGCTGATTATCCTCTATTACCTAAGTCTACGATAGCCCAGCTTTGCGACCAGTTAGTGTAGTTAAAAATATAATTATTCAATCTTAATCTGTTTTTCAAAGCAGCATGTTCTCGTTTGAACAGAAGTGGAATTTTGTTCTTTTCCAGCAGAAAGAACCTTTGAGCAGCAAACACATCTTTTTCTTTGCCAATATGTTTCCTTCTGAAAACATTGTCTTTTGCAGTTTTGGAATCTCTGTTATTTTTTACTGCATTATATTTTTTGACTTATAATTAGATAATAGAGAATAAGGAAAATCTGTGTACTTTGTAGAAAACTTTTTTACAAAAGTTCAAAACTATCATAGTTACAACATTTCGTTATAGATTTGTAGATATTACAAGAAAGGATATTCACGAGTGGCTAGAGAAAACTTTAACACAGGAAAAGGACGTAAGTAAGATTATTAGTTTTTGATCGAAAAAAAGTCATCAGATCTGTTGGAGTCAGCTACAGTTTTGTTATTGCTTCCCTTTCTAGTAAGTTTGTTTTAGGACTGGTATAAACACGTTCGACCTGAAGAGGAAAGTTCTGGTTACTATTACACTCAGTTACCAAGCATCTTATTTGGAATGATTGAAGATACGGTACAATATTCGAACAGCTTCTGTTTGCTAAATATCATTTAAAGAATGTGAATGCTTTATAAGCCTTAAAGCTATAAAGTAAAACCAGTTATGGTATTTTAGAAAATTTTATTTTTATTATGGCTTTCTTTCAACTGTGTAGTAATTAACCATTGTTGTTTAGGTTGTCTTAACTAGAGAGTTTTCTACGGACATAATTCCAAGTGTTATCAACGTCAGTATTGATGAATTTTTATTATTTGCGAATAGGTATAAAGGTAGAATAGTCACTTCTTTAGTTGTTCATTATTTGTGCAATTGCAAATCACCTCATTTAGTATTTCGCACGCTTTATATTTCCTTATTTCATTGGTTTGCTTTATTACTTAAAATTTCTGCTTTCGGTCTACTTCAGACGCTGCAATGGCTTACAGGACAAAATATTTCGAAGACAGAAATTATTTTGCAGAATTTACAGCCACCATGGTATGTTTTTGAGGAATGTTTGAAAACAACAGGCTTTTACTGAATTTTTTTACTTTGAGAGGACTAAACAGTAATGCACACTAAGTTGCCTGTTGTACCACGCTTATTTTAGATTGCAGTCGCGAACAATCTAGATATATGTGTGGATTCAACCGACAAATTAAAAAAGCACATAAGGCTGACTATGGAGAACGACATTACAGATGAATCCTCCTCACCAAAGACTTCCGTTGCTACTAAGCAACAGCAAAAGCCGTCTGTAGTAATTAGTGCATCACGACAAGAGCTCTTAAACAAGATTGACCAACTGAAAAAAAGACTGAAACTGGGAATGCAGTTTGCGTACGTTACTAAAATTTGTTTTGATTTTTAGCTTGTTGTTTCCAAACATGGTATTTAAATTATTTTTAGGATTAACTGTTTATTTGAAGAAATTTCAAAAGATATCGCCCCACATTTGAGTGAAATACTGTCAAAAAAATGGTTAGTCGTCATACAGTTACAGTATTTTCATTTAGTTATTTGGAGCGTAAGAGAAAATTATGAATCATTTGAAGGCTTTCTGGGTGCCCTGCTGTTGAGGTTATCTGCATGACTCTTGTTGATTACTACATGGATTACAAGCATTTGAAACCTCATATCTGTTGTGCCTTGATGCTTGAGATACAGTATCGCATCGTTGGGGAATTTATTGTTGCTATAGACAGCAGGTCTTTTTTCTTTTTACACTCAGTGTTTTTTTAAAGTAATTGAGTCTGTGATTCATAAGGAAAGGAGCTTGAACTATTTTGACACCCCAATATAAGCTTTAACAATTTTCTTTCGTCCGCTGCTTTCACAAATTTCTTGACTACTGTTATAGACGTCTTTCTTTTTCGAATTATGATGAAAGGAGCGAAGCAGCGCGTTTGCTGGTTAAGGATGCCGAAAACATTGAACGTTCATTCTCTTCTTTGTTGGATCAAAACGATTTAAATGTGCGTGAAGATTTCTTTGCCCCTAATTATTTTGACAAAAAGTGAAGAAAAAAGTTTAGTTAGTTTTTTCCTCTAATTGTAGTATTTGATAAAATTTTTAAAGGTATAACTTTAGTTTGTTGACTTGACAATCATACTGACCTCGATAGCTGATGTATTAAAGCTGCGCGATAAGAGTCTGCTAACCCTTGAGGTGACCTCTTTTGTTCGGAAGTTTCCTGCCATTCCTGTTGAACTGCTTAGTGGTCTCTTACAAATGCGAGAGGATGTCGGAAGAGTTGAAGCAAAGTACTATTTTAAAATCCTCTGGTTGAGTTAGTTGACGTTTTTGTCGATCTATTGAAGTTTTTTATTCTAAGTCTTGGCATGGTGATATCAATTACTGTTTTTTCTCACCGTTAGTTTGACTTCATCTACGTAATTTTCCACAGGTCTCTGGCTGAAGAAACAATTGGGAATGCCAAGTTTCATCCCAAGGATGACGTCACTTTTGTTAAGCTTTTCCAGATGTGCAAAAGTGATTCTAAACGTGCTTTTGCTATAGAGGATACTATGCAAAATATTTTTGGCCTTTCTTCGTTGATATTGAGGAGCTAAATCTTTTCCAAGGTTTGTAAAATTGTATCTAGTTTTTGATGAAACTTTTTCGATTACGGGTTTTTTTTTGTGATGCCAGTTCTGTTGAGAGCCCCACTTATGCTTCCATAAACACATTGGAGCAATAATAAGTTTTATTATGGTGGTAAGACCGGTTCCAAGCTAGCCGTTCTACAAAAAGTTGTGGCTTTTTTGAAGACAATTTGTAATAATTCAAACCACCCGGAACTTATGCTATAATTTTGAAAAGTTTTTTCGTTAAAGAAGGGCTGGCGTTATTGAATTTATTTGATTTGCTCATCCTCTTGTTCAAATTAGTCAATTTCTTACAACATTTACCTCGTTTGTTACATGTGAATGTCGGCTAATATTAAAGTTCTCCTCTCCTGTCATTTTGGATGACTTGTTTAAAAGTCTCTTCAAGTTCCCTATAGATCACCATAGGGGAAGCCTGATTTGTTAGTTGTAAATGTTTACAAACTTTGAAAATATGTAACTTCTGTTAAAGTAACTTCTTTTCTTCTTGTAATAATGAAATCGGGCGCTTTGTTATTTATCTAATTAATACTCGTTGGGACAGACTAAGGAGCCCTATAAGAGTGAAAGTTAATCTTAGTACTACTCACATGCTAGTGAGATTTGTAGTAAACAGCGACTTCCGTAAACTTTTTGGAGTTACTTCGCTCTAATAACGAGTTTTGCACTCGCTGTTGTTTGGTTTTTGCTTCATCCCACTGCGGCATTTCACTGATGTAAGATCTCCAATATACAGCTGTGCACCTACTAAGATGCTGGTTTTTTCTTTCATAGCGTCTGCATTTTGATTGTCCGGGTTTCGACTTCAGCAAGGTATCAAGAGCTTATTTCAATCATTTGCGAAGGAAGGTGCAACAATCTTGATTGTGTTAGATGCAGTTCA